TGTCCTATGAGAGGGACACCTGATTAGGGACCAGACATTTAGCATCAGGCCATGAACCAAAATAAAGAGGTAGCCACTGAGAGACACATGTAAACACCCTGGGTTGGGGCTAGTCTTCATAGTCACTCTCATGACTGACACCTCAAATCAAATGGGGAGAAAAATAACTGACCTTGGAATTGGCTTCTTATAATAAGCATGTGCAGCTGCCTTATTGTTTCTACGTTTGAATAATACTACCTTTCTAGCTATTCTATGTTGTGCTTATCTGTTCATCAGGTAATGAGCATTTGGATTGTTTCCATTCTTGGGCTGTTGAGAGTATTGCTGCAGTGAAAACTGTGTACAAATGTTCCTTATTTCCTTTAATTATTTTGAGCATACACGGAGGTTTGGGATATAGCCAGGAATATATACCCTGGAGTGGGCTCATGCTAATCTACGAATTACTTGTTGAGAGTCAAATAGCTATTTCCACAGCAACTGTACCATTTTTCATTCCTGCCAGCAATGTCTGAGGATTTCTATTTTCCCACATCATTGCTAATGCTTCCTCACTGTTTTTTTCTTTTCCAATTTAGCTGACTTAGTGAGAAGTGATTTGGATTTACATTTTGCATGACTAATGATGTTGACTATACTTTCATGTGCTTGCTGGTCTTCTGTGACTTTTTTGGAGAAATGTCTACTCAAGTCCTTTGCACATCTGTAAAGAGTTCTTCGTCCTTTTGTTGCTGATTTGTAGGAGATTTTGGTATACACGGGATAGTAATCTCTTACCAGATGCATGCTTTCAAGTATTTTCTCTTGTTCTGCAAGTTTTCTTATCACTTGTGCTAGTGTCCTTGATATACACAAATTTTTAATGTCCATGAAGTCCAATTTATCCATTTTGTTTTTTCCCTAGGGTTTTAGTATCACGATCAAAAACCACTGTCAAATCATGTCCTGAGGGTTTTTTTTTTTTTAATGTTTCCTTCTAAGAGTTGTATAGCTTTAGGTTATACATTTTTTTATTCTCTTTTAAGTTAATATTATGTGGAATAACATGAGACTAGCTTTATTCTTTTGTGTGGTTATTCAAAAGACTCTTTTTCCCAAAGTAAAACACTTTTGTCAAAAACTATTTCACCATAAGAATGAACTTCAGGGCCGACAACTGTGGCAAGTGTGTACAGCCACTGCTGCAGTGCCAGCATCCATATGGGTGCCTGTTTGAGTCCTAGCTGTTCCACTTCAATTCAGCTTTCTGCTATGGCCTGGGATAGGCAGTGAAAATAGCCCAAGTCCCTGGGCCCCTGCACCTGCGGTGCACATGGCTCCTGGCTCCAATAGGTGCGGCTTGGGCTGTTGTGGCATCCAGGGAGTGAACCAGCAGATTAGATCTCTTTCTCTTTCTCTCTTTCTTCCTTTCTCTTTCTCACTTCGCTATCTCTCTCTGCCTCTGCCTTCTATAATCTCCCTTTCATATGAATAAATAAATCTTAAAAAAAAAAAGAATGAACTTCATGGTGTACCGCCACACAAACTTGTTGTTGAATCTCTAAGTCCTATTGAGATCTATCTGGAGATAGTGTTGAATAGGAAGGCATAACGGTGAGGGTCATAGTGCAGGACTTTAATCTGGTAGCTGTATCCTCATAAAAGATGAAGAGACCCAAGTGTGTTTTCTCCTCGTGGACCAATGCAGACAGGCCATGTGAGGATGGCAGCAAGAAGGCAGCCACTGCCAAATCCAGAGGAGTCCTCAGCAGGATCCAGATTTTTTGGTACCTTCATCGGGATTTCTAGCTTCCAGAACTCCTGAAAAAAAATCTTTTACAGCCATCCAGTCTGTGATATTTTGTATTTTTAGGCCTGAGCTGATGAATACAACCCTTATTCAACAGTTTATTTCTGGGCTCTCTATTGTACTCCATTTCGTATATAGTTTGTTTTATGCCAAGGAACACAGTATTTTGATCCTTTTTTAGTATGTTTAAATATGACATGTGAGCTGTCCAACTTTGTAATATTCTCAAGATTGTAATGGCTAATTGGGATCTTTTGAGATCCTAATATAATTAGGATGAGAATTCTAATTCTGAAAAAGAAAAAGCTGTTGGGATTTTGACAGGGGATGAATTAAATCTGTATATTTCTTTGAGTAGTGTTGTCCTTCTTTACAATATTAAGTCTTCTGATCCATGAACACAGGATGTCTTTCCACTTATTTGTGTCTTTCTTCAATTCATTCAGCAATGTTTTACAGACTTTAGATATACAAATCTTTTACCTTTTGGTTAAGTTTATTCCTAAGTATATCATTGTCATGGTATTAAATATGAGATTTGTGCTTTCTTAATTTCCTTTTTAGATTGTTCATAGTATACAGAAACACAAGGGATTTTTTCGTGTTGATTTTTTTATCCTGCAACTTTGCTGAATTTATTTATTAGTTGAAACAGTTTCTGCATGGAATCATCAAGATTTTCTATATATAAGATCTATATTTTAGATTTTTTTTCTATATATGATTCTATGCTAACTAGAATTTGTGGAAGCAAGCATCCTTGTCTGTTCCTGATCTTGAAAGATGAGATTTCATCTTCTAGCATTGAGTGTGATGCTCACTGTGGGTTTTTTATATGTGGCTTTTATGTGTTGGGGGTAGTTTCCTTCTATAATTGTTCATTGAGTGTTTGTATCTGTTAGCAGTTAATTTTGCCAAATGCTTTTTCTGTGGTGAGAAGTCATTATTTTTCCCCTTATTCTATTAATTTGGTATATTAGCATTGGTTGCTATTTGCATAGTGTATAACATTCTCGCATTTATAGCACATATTTTTAAATGAAAACATCAGAGATGAAAATCAAATTAGTAACTCCAAAAGGCCAGGATGTTGGGAGGCTAGGTCAAGAAGGGACATGTGATTATAAAGGGTTATCCTAAGAGAAATGTTTCAGTGATGGGATAGTTTTGAATATTAATTGAGGTGGTAGTTTCCAAGTCATTAATGGGAAGAAAAAAAATCACAGAACTACATACATACATTATTGTACCAATGTCAATTGCCTGATGTTCATATTGGATTATAATTAACATAAGATGTGATCACTGAGAAAAGTGAATGAAGGAAACCCTGAATCTCTGCTCTACCTTTGTGTGAAATTAGGAGGTATGTGAGTGGAGGGAAAAAACCCTTGGTAAAACAGTATGTCTTTTGGTTGCTCTGAATATCTTGCATTATATGGAGACTAAGATATTCAAATGCAAACATTTAATAAGCATCTGTATTACTAACTGGTCTGTGTCCCAATTATATTAGCAGCAAAATAAAAAACCTTGATATAGCTTATAATATATCTAAGTGCTATAGATCTCTAGGCTTATTAAGCTTCCCTAAGCCCAGTATGAGAAGTTTTATTATTATCCTCACTTACAAAAAACGATCCTAAGAGTAGTTGGTTAGCCAGAAAGTACTAGAGCCAGAAGATAGTCGACTGAAAGCCATTCACAGCCCATATCTTAAAATATGGTGCTCTGTAAGAAATACAAGCGGTACACTTTTAAGAAGAGAGACTAAAATTGGACATGTGGTTTCTTGGGTCTTTTTGCTTTGGCATTCCTTCATCAGCTACATGAATTCTGCTGTTGTTTCACAGTGAGTGTGCTGAGGAGCATCCGCTGAAGGACAGGCTGCGAAGCTGAGATGTCACTTCACATGGGGGCATGCTCATCGAAGACACTGAAGTTTCTGGACTTACAAGATAGGATTTTGGAAGAGATTCAATGTCTAGACACTGAACACAAGGTAGGATACAAACCTGCTGGCCTATGTGAAAACACCTGCAAGGCAAGCATGAGGATCGCACTGGAGAAACCTGAAAGAAGCAGAAGAGGTGGTTCAGGGAGACCAGGCTGACCACTCAAGATGTGAGGAGTCTGGGTGACCTGGGGCAACTACGCCTGGGTGTACTACCACATGGGCAGGCTGGCAGATGCACAGACATACCTGGACAAGGTGGAGAACACGTGCCAGAAGTCTGCAGACCCCGTCCCGTTATAGTACGCAGTGTCCTGAGATGGACTGTGAGGAAGGCTGGGCTTTGCTGAAGTGTGGAGGAAAGAACTATGAGCGGGCCAAGGCCTGCTTTGAGAAGGCTCTGGAAGCAAGGACCCTGAGAACCCTGAATTCAACACAGGTATGCAATCACTGTCTATCGCCTGGATTACCCTGCCAAAAGACCATGCAATGTCAGTGATGCGTTTTCTCTGCAGCCCTTAAGGAAGGCCATCAGGCTCAATCCACAAGATGCATACCTTAAAGCTCTGCTTGCTCTGAAGCTGCAGGATGTAGGAGAGGAGGCCGAAGGAAGAGAGTGCATGGAGGAAGCTCTGGCTCACACGTCCTCCCAGACCTATGTCTTTCGATACGCAGCCAAATTTTTCCGCAGACAAGGCCGTGTGGAAGAAGCTCTGAAGTACCTAAAAAGGGCCTTGAAGGCAACACCCAGATCTGTCTTTCTTCATCACCAGATAGGCCTCTGCTACAGGGAACAAATGATCCAAATAAAGAATGCTACCCCATGCAGCCTAGAGGACGGGATAGGGAGAATGTGGACAGATTGGTTTCAATTAGCCATAAATGAATTTCAAAAGGCTTCAGTTCTAAAGCCGACATTTGAATTGGCTCATGTTCACCTGGCTGATGATGTATGCAGAAATACGCCCAGTACAAAGAGGCTGAGGAACATTTTCAGAAAGCATTATGCATCCCGAACAGTGATGATCACATCCAACAGAAATTCATTACAGCTACGGTAATTTCTTAGCATATCCTGGAAATCTGGAAGACAAAGCCATCACTCAGTATCTAAAAGGTCTAAAAATAGAAAAAGTGTCTTATGCCAGGGAAAAACTGCTCAAGGCTTTAGAGAGATTGGCAGAAAGACGTGTGAACCGGAATGTCCAGTTGTGGAAAGTACCGCCCTCCTTGGGCTCATCCACAAATTGAGAGGGGGAAGTGAGCGAAGCCCTGCTGTGTTATGAGAAGGCTCTAAGGCTGGCTGCTGACCTCAACTCCATGTTCTGAAATGGAGATCACCGTTATCCAAGTAAGGTACTCAAAACGAAATATAACATCATCTTTCCCAAGCACTACCTTCAAACATATAAAACCTGTGAGGATACAAATCAATTTCCGTTGCCTGCCCTGCTGTTTTCACTTTTCCCCTTCCCTCCAAATGCCTATGACAAGAACATCCATTCTTCTACACCACATCCCTATACACATACACCACAGATGCTTAATACCATTTGGGGCAACTCTCATATGCTGGGCCAAGCAGATTCATTTTGCTTCTGATTTTGCCTTTGGAAGAAACAGTTTCAATCGTCAGACTAGCTGTTGTCCCAAACAGAGGAGACTTCTTCATGCAACCAGGGCTTTGACCTGGCACAAAATAACAGTAAAACAAGTGAGCAATGATGAGACTTACCATGAAAGAGAAGACTTTAGTAGTCACTCCAGCATTCCATACCTAGATTTCCATCTCCCAGGCCCTCCTGAAACCAAAAACATGGGGTCCATGAGCCAAGCCTTATAATAAACTCGGGCTTCTGTTTGTATCAGTCTAGCTACTAGGCAATCAAAAGGATGGACATGATCCAAACACATTGTTGGACTTTATGTCACAGCTACGAATATTACCTATGCTTCGGGAAACTCTTTTGGAGTGCCCAAGCTGAAAATGACATGGCTCATAGCTTAGTGCAGTTTTTTAAGTACTACAAACATGTAGTGTAGAGGCAGCATAGGAACACTGTAGACAGATTGGTTCAATTAGCCATATTTGATTGTGAATATGCTGTGAAACTACTACCCACATTTGAGATTGCTTATGTACAATGATTGGCATGTATGTAATTGCAGGTGATCAGAAAAAAAAAACCTGACATTTCCCAAAGAAAGGAGATCATCCAACAAAACATACTAAGATACACATCCCTACTTTGATCACATAAAGCAATTTCAAAAAAAAACTGAAGATGATGCATTTTGCCATCATTTAAAGGCAGTTAAAATAGGAAAGGACTCATACGCCAGGGATAAAAGTATCAATGCCTTGGAAAATTGGCTTCAAGGAAACTAAAGAGAAACCAATTAGACCTGGAAAGCTTGAGCCTCACGAGATTGGGCCAAAGCTGAAAGGAGAATTCAATGAAGCCCTGGAGTGCTCTGAGCAGCCCCTGAGACTAGTTGCTGATGAGGGAACCAGGTGGGGAGTAACCACTAGGTGCTCAAAGTACCAACCACTTTCAATTGCATTTGATTTAGGTTAACAAGTGGTAAACTTCTCTCCTACTTGCTGGCTTTAGAAAGATTTTGCATAATTCATGATAATGATGCAGTTTTTAAAACGGATAAAATTAGCTGCAATAAGCAAATAGGATAAATAGCTGCAAGCATGGCCTACTGCCTTGATTGTCAGGATACCCACATCCAACCTTGAAGTTCCCTGGGGTTTGACTCTCATTCCAGCTTCTGCTCCAGCTCCCTGCAATGTGGTCTCTGGGAGGCAGCAGTGGTGGTTCAAGAAGTTGGGTTCCTGTCATCCATTTGGGAGACCTGGATTGTGCCTCCAGAACCCAGCTTGGGCCCTCAGCATTGTATGGGCAACTGAGGAGTGAAACAGCAGGGGGAGCACCTGCCTCTGTTCCTTCATCCCCCTTGACCTCTGCCTCTGGAAGAAAGAAGAAACTTGTGAAACACCCCATGTGCATGTGTGTGTGTGTGTCTGTGTGTGTATAAAGAGAAAACATCTGTGTCTATAACATAAGGTAGAAGAAAAGTTTGTCAACTAGCCTATAACAATAAACTGTGGTTGTATTCACACGGAAACATTTTATTCATTTATTTTACTAACAAACAGCTTGCAGAGATAGATACCTAAACTACCATGATGAGCAATGTCTCCCAAACATTGCATAGAAACAAGCTACTGAGAGAGGCAGACAAAAGTGGGTACAAAGTCAGTTAAAGGTCAGCTTCCACAGTGAGGATGTTTGCATTTTCATTCACTGTTGGCTTGTTCCATGGAGACTGAGAGGTTCATTGCCCATTGTGTACATGGGGTACACGGCACAGAGTTATAAAGACCCTGGAACCTGCAATCCAAGGAAAGGTGTCCAGGGAAGAAGTCCCAGACAGCTTATCACAGGATTTCAGATGTGCAGAAGACAGCAGACACCACCCTGTGCCGAGGTCCAGCCCAGCCGTCCATGCAGAGGCCTGTCCTTGGGATGCAGAGACTGCATGTGCATCTGGCCTTGGGCAGCTTGGCCTGGGATGCAGTCTAGTTGGTACTGTGTTTAGAACTTCCCTGGAGGATTCTATAGTGCAGGGAGGACTGGGATCTGCTAATCCATACAAAATCTCTTGTTTTATTATCTGAATAAACTTGAGATTGCCTGTCACAACCGAGAACCCCAACATGCCAGAAACTGGAAAGCTGACAGCAAACGTGGTCTGGCAAAAATTGCACCCCAGGGATACTAGATGGCAGGCCCCGCCCCACCCACCAGGATCACACAGCAAAGCATGGTCTTGCAGTCACTGCACCAGAGGCAGGGAGGGCGTGGCAACACCAAGCCCCACCTGACAGGAACCAGACAAAGAAATGAAGTCTTGCAGAGACTGCAGCCCAGCCAAGCAGAGGTAGACTAGAGATGGGTAGCCGACCGTTGGATCCAACATGGCGTCCAGAGTCGCTGTTACCTGACCTTCAGCCTCGTTGTATCCATTGCAATATATTAGCACAGTGCACATATCACTCCTTCTCTTGTTGTGATAACTTCCAATTGTCATGACCAATTGTAATGTGTCCTGTAGAAGTCACCGTTTTTGGACAGAAGAGAGGAGGACTCCTGGTTCCTGGGAATCACAACTTTACAAACCAAAGGAAATATGCAGCCCACATATTAACACATATTTATCAATGCACACACAGCTGCCTCCACTTTGCTTAATGGCACTCTTTCCTGTGTCACTCTGGGTCCATTTATTTCCAGCAAATACTAGGCAGGATTCTGAATGATGAATCTGCCTGAGTGACACACCTAGAACTAGGAGTGCTGTCTAATTCAGAGCAATGGCTGGATAAATGTATTGTTCCCTTCTCTACATGATACCTGATGCACTGGGAAATGGAAACCCAACTGATCATCGAGAAGCATCCCAAGGCATTGTGCTCTCAGAAAACAGACCATTTCTAATACTTTTTTTTTCCTTGCCTGCTAAACGTTTTATTCAAACGTTAAGCCTTTTTCCTGTAACATAAATTTAAAATATTTTATCTCAAAAATGACAAAAAGAAAGGGTGAGGAAGACTGGGAGTGAGAGAAGGGGAGAAATGGAGTGGGGGGAGAAGGGGAGTATCAATATAGCCTTACACTTGTGTCTATGAACTACATTGAATCTGTTGAAAACTAATTAAACACTCTAAAAGAATAAACTGTATTTCAATCAAAAAAAGAGCCAACCTCTACCCAGGATCCAAACCTCAGCAAGGCTCTTTCCAACCTCTAATGGCCAAAGAAAGTAACAGGTGGCTGGTAGGGTAGATCCAAGCTAGTGTGCTGGAGCCCCCAGAGGACTGGACACAGCTATGACAGTCATGCAGAGCCACGATACTCGTATCTGGGAGTTAGATCAACTTACACAGCTACACAAAGCGCTACTCAATGAGAATGAGAAATGCATTTTCTTAAGGCCAAAATTGTTCTGATTGAAGACTCAACATGCTGACACAGACATGCACCCTGTTCCTATGACTAAGAAGGAGTAAAATCACTGTTAGCAGGGTATGCATAGTTATAGTAGAATCAATAATATGTCATCTCTCAGAATGGCAGCAAATGAGAGTTAAGACTTCCATTTAGGAGCCAGCACTGTGGTGTAGCTTGGGAAGCCACTGCCAGCAGTGCCGGCATCCCATTTTGGCACCTGTATGAATCCTGGCTGCTCCAGTTCCAATCCAGCTCTCTGCTATGGCCTGGGAAAACAGTAGAAGGTGGCCCAAAACCTGGGGCCCCTGACCCGCGTGAGAGAACTGGGAGAAACGCTTTGTTCCTTCCTGGCTTCAGTTCAGCGCAGCTCCGGACATTGTTGACATCTTGGGTGTCAATTAGCACATGGAAGATCCCTCTTTCTCTTCCTCTGTCTCTCAGTAACTCTGTCTTCAAAATACATAAAAAAAATCATAAAAAACTTCCATTTAGAATTTTGTGAACTCTTGTTCTGTGAAATGAGAATTGCTTGCTTCCAGTAAGCAAACAGGTACACAGATTGGGGGCAGCTTTCCCAAGTTCACCCCGTGGTTATCATGGTCCCCTGCTCTAGGCTCCCAGGCCTCTGCCCTAACCTGCATCTGCCAGCTCCAGTTCTCTGCAAGGACAGGAAAGAGGCAATGGTACACGAGTACAACGTTCTCATCAGTCTCCTCTCAGTTTTCAAAAGAGGACAGAGAAAGCACTCAACATTTAAGTTTCTTTTTCAGAAACAGGAAATCGACTTGTTGCAGTTTCATTTCTGCTCTCAGTTGGAACATATTTGGCAAGGAGACACCTACAACTAAAACATTTTCTGCTGATACACCCCTTTTGCAGTGCTCAGTTTATGTGGAATCCACAACGCACACGGGCCAGGTCTCAGAGGGCACAGTCCGGCTCAGGAAACCTGCAGACTTCTGCCTCCTTCTCAGCAACCATGAGGTAAGGAGTTCTCAGCCTCTCTGCGCTATGCCTATAGAGATTTTGAGCAGATGTTCGTCACCATGTCTCAACAGGTGTGGACACGTTTGCTCATGACTCTATTTGAGTGGCTGTGTATGGACTGGAGTGTGTTGGAAAGTGGACATGTGCCTGTGCGTGTAGAAGACTGTGGAGATGCATAGTCATAACCACACACAGAAAGGATTTTCCACCCATGGTGTTTTGTTTCTTTTCGTTAATCAAAGGAACCTTTTCAAATACTCTACCCGCAGAATGGAGGGAAGAGAGACAGAGTTTTTTCAGGAAGGGAGAAATGACTCCGATCTCCAGAGTCTCTTCTACCAGCTGCACTTGTGCAGTCTGGGCAGGGCTGGGCAGCTTGTTCATGAAGACAGCGTTTTCTGCAGGTTGCTCACCACGGAGGACGTGCAGGGCCGAGGGGCTGTGTCAGCTGCAGTCCCGAGGCCTCGCATTTGCTTTGTGGGTCATGTTGTGGGGATGTGGCATGAGAAGTTTATGGCTTTGCCCTGCAGTCTTCTGCTCTCGCTCTCTGTCCAGCCGGGCTCCTGTGTCAGTTGGACTGCATCTTAGATTAGCAGTTACTTCTTCCTGGGGGAACGCAGGCCATCCGCAGATCATTGTCGTCCTCCTGGCCGTGAGTCTTGGCCTGAGTCCCTGCTTGGGAACATGCACGCAAACATGTACATACGCTTGACCCTAAGAATGTCTATACGTTGCCAACTGAATCTTCATCACTAGAACTCATATTATTACTTTGATTTCCTGTTTCAATATTTCTTAGTATGCTAATTAGCTATTACATTGGGAGTCATCACAAGGAGTGCTCACGATGAGCAGATTGTCTGGCACCTTCATCTGTGATTTCTCTTCTCTCCATAATTCTAAAAAAAGACATTGTTAAACCAGTCAGTCTGTGGAATTTTGTTATTTTTCTAGGGCTCACAAATAAAACTCTATAATCAAGGGTTGATTTCTAGGCTCCCTGTTCTAGTCCATGGTTTATACCTTCCGTCTTTATACCAAGAACATGATATTTTGATTCCTGCAGGAAAACAGGAAGTATGGGATATCAAATGTGTATTCCATCTTCAAGATACTTTTGGCTTTGGCATTTCACAGATAGAATTAGAATGAGTTTTCCAATTCTGAGAAAATAGTGTTGGGGTTTTGATGGGACATTAATGAAATCTGTAGACTGCTTTGGATAGTAAAGATAGCTTAACAATATTAAATTTTCCTACTGGATCAAGGGATGTCCTCCCAATTGTTTTTGTCTCTAATTCTTTCAGCATACAATTATCTTGCCTCTTTTTAAAGTTTATTCCTTAATATTTTATTCTTTTTCATAAGATTATAAGTGATTTTCTTGTATTTTTTCAGGTTGTTCATTGCTAGTGTGTACAGTGATTTTTGAATGTTGGTTTTATATTCTGAAGCTCGGTTAAATTTTTAAAATTAGTTCTAACAGTTTATGCATGGGATCATCAAAATATGCTACATGTAAGGTCTATATTCAATAGAAGTGGTGGAAGAGGCATCCTTCCCTGTGTTCCTGACCTTAGAAGATGATTTCAACCTTCTAGCATTGAATAGGATGCTAGCTGTGGGATTTTCCATATGTGGCCTTGATTGTGTTGAGGTAGCTTCCTTCTATTACCTGTGCGTTGAGTATTTGTATCATGGGAGAATGTTAAGTTTTGTCAAATGTCTTTTCTGCATTAAGAGAGTCATGGTTTTCTGATACATCCTGTTTTGTGATGTCTTACACTGATTGCTATTTGCATGCTCCACGACATTCTGCCTTCATAGAATGTTCCTGAAATAGCAGTATCAGAGAGATGAAAGTCAAAGTAGTAGTTCCAAAAGACCAGGGGTGCTTGGGAGTATGGTGAAGCAATCACAGGTTGATTCTAAAGGGTTATCCTAAGGGGACTGCTGCAGTGATGGGATGCCTTTCTGTGTTACTTGAGGTGGTGACTCCACAGTTTATTCACATGAGAAAAACCACGGAACAACATACCTACACTGTTGTGCCAGTGTCAATTCCTGATCCTGCTATTGGATGTTAACTGCTTGAGATAGGATCATTGAGAGAAACAGAGTGGAAGAAACACAGGATCACTGCACTGCCTTAGTCATTTCATGAGAATGTATACTTATTTCAAGTAAGCAGTGAAAAAAAACTGGGTAAATAGAACTTCTTTTTCTTGGTCTATATTTGTTGCCATATATGGAAACTAAGATACTAAAATCAATAACAGTTCCTGGGATTTTGCAATTCTGATGGGTCTCAGTCCAAAATATATTAGCAAAATAGGCAAGTTTCATATAGCATGTGCCTACTCTAGACTTATTAATCCTCCTCAAGCCCAGTGTGAGAAGTGCTATTGTAGTCCACCTTTATAAAAAAAGGACCCAGAATCAAACAATGGTTGTTTAACTGAAACGTACTGGAACCCCTAGACAGACAACTGTGTGACATTCACAGTCATGAGTGTCTTAAAAATACAGGCACTCGAAAGGAAGTCTAAGTGTGAGGCCTCAAAACTAGACTAAAATGGCTCAAGGTGCTACAGTTCTCTGTTTGCTGTTAGAGTCCTCACCTAACAAACTCTGCTGTTGTTTCACAGTGAGTGTGCTGAGGAGCATCCGCTGAAGGACAGGCTGCAGAAGCTGAGATGTCACTTCACATGGGGGCTGCTCATCGAAGACACTGGGTTGCCTGACCTAGAAGACAGAATCCTGGAAGAGATTCAATTTCTAGACACTGAACACAAGGTAGGAATATACAACCTGCTGGCCTATGTGAAACACCTGCAAGGCAAGCATGAGGATGCCCTGGAGAACCTGAAAGAAGCAGAAGAGGTGGTTCAGGGAGACCAGGCTGACCACTCAGATGTGAGGAGTCTGGTGACCTGGGGCAACTACGCCTGGGTGTACTACCACATGGGCAGGCTGGCAGATGCACAGACATACCTGGACAAGGTGGAGAACACGTGCCAGAAGTCTGCAGACCCCTCCCGCTATAGAATGGAGTGCCCTGAGATGGACTGTGAGGAAGGCTGGGCTTTGCTGAAGTGTGGAGGAAAGAACTATGAGCGGGCCAAGGCCTGCTTTGAGAAGGCTCTGGAAGCAGACCCTGAGAACCCCGAATTCAACACAGGGTATGCAATCACTGTCTATCGCCTGGATTACCCTGCCAAAAGACCATGCGATGTCAGTGATGCATTTTCTCTGCAGCCCCTAAGGAAGGCCATCAGGCTCAATCCACAAGATGCATACCTTAAAGCTCTGCTTGCTCTGAAGCTGCAGGATGTAGGACAAGATGCCGAAGGAAGAGAGTGCTTGGAGGAAGCTCTGGCTCACACATCCTCCCAGACCTATGTCTTTCGATACGCAGCCAAGTTTTTCCGCAGACAAGGCCATCTGGATGAAGCTCTGGAGTACCTAAAAATGGCCTTGGAGGCAACACCCAGGTCTGCCTTTCTTCACCAGCAGATAGGCCTCTGCTACAAGAAAAAAAGAAACCAAATAAAGAAAACTACCCACATGCAGCCTAGAGGACGGGACAGGGAGAATGTGGACAGATTGATTCCATTAGCCATATTTCACTTTGAATATGCTGTCAAACAAAAGCCCACGTTTGACGTGGCTTATGTGGACCTGGCACGCATGTATATAACCGCAGGCGATCATGAAAAAGCTGAAGACACTTTCCAAAAAGTGCTGTGCATGACACCACTCCAGGAACACATACAGCAAAATATACATTTCTACTATGGTCAGTTTCTAGAATTTCAAAAAAAATCTGAAGTTGATGCCATTACCCATTATTTAAAGGCAGTTACAATAAGAAAGGACTCATATGCCAGGGATAAAAGTATCAAAGCCTTGGAGCAACTGGTTTCATGGAAACTAGAGAGAAACCCATTGGACCAGGAGGCCTTGAGCCTCCGGGAGGTGCTCCACAGGTTGGTAGGAGGAAGGGATGAAGCCCTAGAGTGCTCTGAGCAGGACCTCAGACTAGCTGCTGACGGTGGGAACTGGGTGGGGAGTAGCCTCTAGGTGCTCAAGTATCGACCACGTTCATATTGCATTTGATTTAGGTTAACAGGTAGTAAATGTCTCTCCTACTTGCTGGCTTTAGAAACATATTACATGATTCATGATAATGATGCAATTTTTAAAACGGATAAAATTAACTGCAAAGAAAGATAGGATAAATAGCTGCAAGCATGGCCTACTGCCTTGTGTCGCTTCCCGTCTTCGTGGAGGAACGACACAGGACCCTGTGCTGTTCTTTTGTCTGCTCGGCCCTCCCCAGGTTTGCTGCTGGTTCTTCCCGAGTTGGCTACCGACCCTTCCACCTCCGTAGAAGGGCGGTTCCCCCTGCCACTTTCCCCACTTCCGCGGGGGAGCGGCACGCCGGCCGGCTCTCGGGGGCTGCTCAGGTGTTCCTTCAGATAGATGTTCCCCTTAGATGTTCCTGGTGCATGTTGTCTCTCTCCTCCTTTATAGTCCTCTTCCACCAATCCCAACTCGGCTGCCCACACGCTGAGTATGCTGCTCTCCTCCAATCAGGAGCAGGTCCTGCTGTTTATTGGTTGAACTGGAGGCAGCTGTGTAGAAGCTGTTTCCTCCTCTCCCAGCGCCATATTGTGGGAGAGCAGATGCATAGAATAAGTCTTAATTCCAGTAACAGTCTAGTCCGAGTTGCTCCCCACAGCCTTGATTGTCAGGATACCCACATCCAACCTTGAAGTTCCCTGGGGTTTGACTCTCATTCCAGCTTCTGCTCCAGCTCCCTGCAATGTGGTCTCTGGGAGGCAGCAGTGGTGGTTCAAGAAGTTGGGTTCCTGTCATCCATTTGGGAGACCTGGATTGTGCCTCCAGAACCCAGCTTGGGCCCTCAGCATTGTATGGGCAACTGAGGAGTGAAACAGCAGGGGGAGCACCTGCCTCTGTTCCTTCATCCCCCTTGACCTCTGCCTCTGGAAGAAAGAAGAAACTTGTGAAACAGCTCATGTGCATGTGTGTGTGTGTGTGTGTGTGTGTGTGTCTGTGTGTGTGTGGGTATAATGAGAAAACATCTGTGTCTATGACATAAGGTAGAAAAACAGTTTGTCAACTAGCCTTATCACAAATAAACTGTGGTTGTATTCACACGGAAACATTTTATTCGTTTATTTTACTAACAAACAGCTTGCAGAGATAGATACCTAAACTACCATGATGAGCAATGTCTCCCAAACATTGCATAGAAACAAGCTACTGAGAGAGGCAGACGAAAGTGGGTACAAAGTCAGTTAAAGGTCAGCTTCCACAGTGAGGATATTTGCATTTTCATTCACTGTTGGCTTGTTCCATGGAGACTGAGAGGTTCATTGCCCATTGTGTACATGGGGTACACGGCACAGAGTTATAAAGACCCTGGAACCTGCAATCCAAGGAAAGGTGTCCAGGGAAGAAGTCTCAGATAGCTTATCACAGGATTTCAGACGTGCAGAAGACAGCAGACACCACCCTGTGCCGAGGTCCAGCCCAGCCGTCCATGCAGAGGCCTGTCCTTGGGATGCAGAGACTACATGTGCATCTGGCCTTGGGCAGCTTGGCCTGGGATGCAGTCTAGTTGGTACTGTGTTTAGAACTTCCCTGGAGGATTCTATAGTGCAGTGAGTACTGGGATCCACTAATTCATGCAAAATCTCTTGTTTTATCATCTGAATAAACTTGAGATTGCCTGTCACAACCGAGAACCCCAACATGCCAGAAACCGGAAAGCAGACAGCAAACGTGGTCTGGCAAAAATTGCACCCCAGGGATACTAGATGGCAGGCCCCGCCCCACCCACCAGGATCACACAGCAAAGCATGGTCTTGCAGTCACTGCACCAGAGGCAGGGAGGGCGTGGCAACACCAAGCCCCACCTGACAGGAACCAGACAAAGAAATGAAGTCTTGCAGAGACTGCAGCCCAGCCAAGCAGAGGTAGACTAGAGATGGGTAACCGACCGTTGGATCCAACATGGTGTCAGGAGTCGCTGTTACCTGACCTTCAGCCTCGTTGTATCCATTGCAATATATTAGCACAGTGCACATATCACTCCTTCTCTTGTTGTGATAACTTCCAATTGTCATGACACCTGCAGAAGTAACCATCTACAGATTGAAGAGAGTTGGACTCCTGGTCTCCGGGAATCACAGTCCCTTTTGGGGAAACACAGGGAATATGCAGCCCACATATTAACACATATTTATCAATGCACAGGAAAGAGGAATTGAAATAACACATGGGGGCCATGGCAGGAGTCACCTGATATGATCACATTAACAAAAGTCTCTTGCTTTCACAGTGCTGGTTTGGGACATTTTCTGACTTCCGCTGAAGCCAAGAGTCCACACTGAGGCTAAGGTGTCCCCACGAGACACCATGGTGTCCTGTATCATCCTCGGCCCAGCAGGGAACCGAGCTCACAGAGGTGAATGGCCCTCACAATGGCTTAGCCACCCAGAGAATTGTTTCTAGACTCCTAGGATGGGACCCAGAGTCTGTTCCTATGACTAATAAGGAGTAAAATCATTGTTAGCAGGGTATGCATAGTTATAGTAGAATCAATAATATGTCATCTCTTAGAATGGCAGCAAATGAGAGTTAAGACTTCCATTTAGGAGTCAGCACTGTGGTGTAGCTTGGGAAGCCACTGCCAGCAGTGCCGGCATCCCATTTTGGCACCTGCACGAATCCTGGCTGCTCCAGTTCCAATCCAGCTCTCTGCTATGGCCTGGGAAAACAGTAGAAGGTGGCCCAAAACCTGGGGTCCCTGACCCGCGTGAGAGAACTGGGAGAAACGCCTTGTTCCTGGCTTCAGTTCAGCGCAGCTCCGGACATTGCTGACATCTTGGGTGTCAATTAGCACATGGAAGATCCCTCTTTCTCTGCCTCTGTCTCTCAGTAACTCTATCTTCAAAACACATAAAAAAAATCATTAAAAAAAAGACTTCATTGAGAATTTTGTGAACTCTTGCACTATGAAATGAAAACTGCTTGCTTATAGTAAGCAAACAGGTACACAGATTGGGGGCAGCTTTCCCAAGTTCACCCCGTGGTTATCATGGTCCCCTGCTCTAGGCTCCCAGGCCTCTGCCCTAACCTGCATCTGCCAGCTCCAGTTCTCTGCAAGGACAGGAAAGAGGCAATGGTACATGAGTACAACGTTCTCATCAGTCTCCTCTCAGTTTTCAAAAGAGGACAGAGAAAGCACTCAACATTTAAGTTTCTTTTTCAGGAACAAGAAATCGACCTGTTGCAGTTTCATTTCTGTTCTCAGTTCCAATGTTGATTGGTAAGGATACGCCTACAGTTTACAACACCTGCTGCTTATATGTACCTGTTGCAGTGCTCAGTTTATGTGGAATCCACAACGCACACGGGCCAGGTCTCAGAGGGCACAGTCCGGCTCAGGAAACCTGCAGACTTCTGCCTCCTTCTCAGCAACCATGAGGTAAGGAGTTCTCAGCCTCTCTGCGCTATGCCTATAGAGATTTTGAGCAGATGTTCGTCACCATGTCTCAACAGGTGTGGACACGTTTGCTCATGACTCTATTTGAGTGGCTGTGTATGGACTGGAGTGTGTTGGAAAGTGGACATGTGCCTGTGCGTGTAGAAGACTGTGGAGATGCATATTCATAACCACACACAGAAAGGATTTCCACCCATGTGTTTTTGTTTCTTTTCGTTAATCAAAGGAACCTTTTCAAATACTCTACCCGCAGAGTGGAGGGAAGAGAGACAGAGTTTTTCAGGAAGGGAGAAATGACTCCGATCTCCAGAGTCTCTTCTACCAGCTGCACTTGTCCAGTCTGGGCAGGGCTGGGCAGCTTGTTCATGCAGACAGCGTTTTCTGCAGGCTGCTCACCACGGAGGACGTGCAGGGCCGAGGGGCTGTGTCAGCTGCAGTCCCGAGGCCTCGCATTTGCTTTGTGGGTCATGTTGTGGGGATGTGGCATGAGAAGCTCATGGCCTTGCCCTGCAGTCTTCTGCTCTTGCTCTCTGCCCAGCCGGGCTCCTGTGTCAGTTGGACTGCATCTTAGATTAGCAGTTACTTCATCCTGGGGAACGCAGGCCATCCGCAGATCATTGTCGTCCTCCTGGCCGTGAGTCTTGGCCTGAGTCCCTGCTTGGGAACATGCACGCAAACATGTACATACGCTTGACCCTAAGAATGTCTATACGTTGCCAACTGAATCTTCATCACTAGAACTGATATTATTACTCTGATTTTTTGTTTCAATATTTCTTAGTATACTAATTAGCTTGTTTGAATGATCTTTACATTTATTTCAACCTATACTGGATAATAAAACTATACAAAAAGTAACTTTAGCAGCTTGGAGACGGGGGTGACAGCAAACTGCAGCAACCAGTGGTGAAGCAACTGGAGGGAGAGCCTGGCGTGTGCCAGACTGGACCCCTTGGGACCAGATAATACGGATGGTTAACTGCTAGCCCAGTGGAAGTAAAAGGGGGCACATTTATCTCACCTAATCTTCCCCACAATGGCAGCCACTGCCCAGCTGAGAATGGGCAGCCATCAATTTGGGCCTGGGCAGCAGCTGCAGAAGCCTTTGTGGGCACGCACAGCAACTGGCTGAGACAGGACACCATCTTCTCAGCAGTACTAATGGCGGTGACAGGGAGCAGGGTATATCTGGCCAGTGGTTCTTGTATATGTGTGTGATCCAGATATTCTAGCAGAGGGAAAAATCTGAAGTCCCTACTGCCTTTGAGCTTGGCTGGCAGGATTGACAGGTGGCTGGGCACTCACATAGGACTGTGAGGCATCCCTAGTCTCCACACATACCAGAGCTCAAGCTGCCAAAGTGGAACTTGCTCAGGGAATATCTACCTCTCTGTTGATTGGACAGGCTAGCAGGAAAGAGCCGAGCCTCTGCTTACAGTGACTGTGGGAGCCTTTTGTGCTGAGACCGTGGGGACTAGGTGGCTATGTGAGAGGGTGCAGGATGTAGCTGGGCATGTGAACAATCATTGGGTGTGAATCCACATGCTCAGGGCTCCTTCGTTGCCTGGGGCAGGTCTTGCAGCTGGAACTGTGGTCAAGGTGAGTTCTCTGAAGATCATTTAATCCATTCATATGGCATCCTGGATGAGTGTTGAAGCAACTGGGGGCTAACACCAGGCATTCCTCAGCTTGGAGGAGAGGAGATGAGGAAGTGATCACACCAACAGAGGGAACCATTCCCACTTCTTTGTGTTAACAAGAGGAGACCTACCATGCCCAACTTGGGTTTTACCCTGGATACTTGCCCCACCCTAATGCACTGACCAGAGGTCCCTGGCCACACCCAGCACACACCTCTTGGTATTCACTCAAAGTGCAGACATTTCACTAAGGCACAGAGGCAAAGGTCAAAGATAATGGCTATCAGAGGAAAAGACCAACAAGTAACTAACTCCAAGTTAGTTAACAAGTAACTAAAAATAAACACAGAAATTCAAGACACGGGAATAAGGAAGACACCATGACCCAACTCCAAAGGAACACAACAACATTTCAATATTAGAATGTGAAGAGGAAGAGACTGATGAAATGCCAGAAAAGGAGTTCATAAAATTGATCATAGGATTACTAAAAGGAAATCAGAAGCAAATCCACGAACTAAAGAAAACCATGTGACATGAGTGAAAATTTCTCTCATGAAATTGAGAATATAAAGAGAAATCAAAATGAAATATTAGAAATAAAGAATGCAATAGATCAAATAAAGATGTGGTAGAAAGCCTTAACAACACACTTAATGGGGAAGAAGAAAGAATATTCGAGCTAGAAGACAAAACTGTGGAAATCAATCAATCAATCAGTCAGGCGAAGAAGAAGAAGAAGTGAGGAGGAGGAGGAGGAGGAAGAGGAAGAAGAGGAAGAGGAGGAGGAGTAAGAAGAGGAGGAGGAGGGAGAGGAGGAAGAAGAGGAAGAAGAGGAAAAGGGGGAAGAGGAAGAATAGGAAGAGGAAGAGGAGGAAGAGAAAAAGAAGAAGAGGAAGAGAAGGAAGAGGAAGAGCAAATTGGTAAACAAAACAGTATTGCAGATATAAAAGGATAATTTCAAATGACCCACCATACTGGTCTTAGGAGTTCCTGAAGGTGTGGAAAGAGA